TGGAGTTGGTAATTTCAGCAGGACCATCCCCGGCTTGCCGGCTGACTCCCGACCGCACCTACCCCTACGAGTGAGAGCAGGGCGCGGGGCGGAGGGGCCTCCGGCAGGACCAGCCCATGCTGGCCGGCTCGGCTCGCTCCGGCTCGCTGCCACTCGCACCAACCCCTCTCTCTCTCCCGTTCTGTTTTCTTTAGCCGCCTACAATGAGGCTTTGTAGTGCAGCCGGTGCGTGGGTGCGCGCCGTGCCTTGCGTCAGGGGGCGGCGGGGGCGCCCGGGGCGCGACGCGGCCGCATCCATGGAGCTGCGCGGGGGCGGCGGCGGCAGAAGAGGCTGAAGGAGGGGGAGCGCGGCGGGGGTTGCAGCAGTGCGCCGAAAGGCCAAAAAAGCCGTTTCATTCCGACACTGCTGCGCTGTGGGACGAGCCTTGACGCCCACCACAGCAGCACGCCCACCACAGCGGCACGCCCACCACATTCCATCCCCGAGCGCTCGGGGCGGGCTGGGTCGTGGTGGTGGGGTGGGGCGGATCCCACTGGACTCCCACGACTGTCTCACAAGGGGATGCGACGAGGCGTGGGAGCGTGGGAGCGCTCGAGAGCCGAGGCAGCCGCTTGAGACTGCGGCGCTTCCGGCTCGCCCCAGCTCGCCCGCCCCCCTTACCTACCGGCTGGAGGACGCGGAGCAGGGCGCCGTAGGTGAGCGCGGCGGTCACCGCGCCCGCCGCGGAGAGCACGACGGACTGCACGTTGCAGACGAAGAAGACGCCGCCCAGCGCGCAGGCCGTGAGCAGCGGGCAGTAGCCCCACTGGCCCGCGTACAGGCTGGCCAGCTCGGCACCGGGGCACAGCGCCACACCTGCGAACCATGGCAAACACACACCGACATCGCGAACATGTTAAAACAGCAGTGTATGGGCCCGATATCCAATGGGATTTATTTATGCGCGAACACGAACACACGAGACTTTTTGATCAATTCGGGCCGGTGTATCAATGGCACGGAGGGGGAGGCAGGGCAGGATGGACGTGCCCTTACGTAATCCCCGCCACGTAACCGGTGTATGGTTCAGGCGGGGGCGGGCAGAGACGGGGGAGGGAAAGAGGAGAAGAGGAGCGGGAGGGGAGAGGAGAGGGAGGGGAGGCACTGCCCTGTGCAGCCCCCGCCCCGGCCCAATGATATGCATTCATTAGCGAAGACCATGTCGGTATTGTGAGTGTGCGCCCGTGTCCATTGACCAGACCAGCTCTGCATGCGAGCGTGCGTGTGCGTGTGCGTGCATGTGTGTGTGTGTGTGTGTGCGTGCGTGTGCGTGCGTGTGCGTGTGTGTGTGTGTGCGTGCATATGTGTGTGCGGTTGCGGGCGTACTTTTGGGAAATAGAGGGAAGAGATAGGGTGGCGTTAGCAGAGCGCATCTACGTGTTTGCAAGTATGTGTGCGAGGGTGTGACGCTGGACCAAACATTATCGAAGCGAACAGGCTGTGTCGCGAGTTTGGCAGGGCCTGCGGGGCCCGGGGCGTGGCGTGGCGTGGCGCGGGGGGAGGGGAAAGGGGGAGGGGGGTTGTCTGGCTGCATGGCTCCTGTATTATCAGCCCTATCCATGTGTGCGTCGCGCTACAGGCAGCAATGCAACCCGAAAGGAGAAGGGGGGCAGGGGAGAGTGGATGGGGGGTAGAGATTAAACTGCGCCGCCAGCAGGGGTGGGCTGGCGAGGGCGGGGGGAGGCACGCTTGATATTGAGAGGGGTAGGGGCACGGTGAGCGCGAGTGAGATAGACACGGGGGGAAGGGGAGAGCATGGGAGGGGTGTGCACGCAGAGTCGCGGGAGAGCCAGAGCTCCTGGGCCGGTGGCAGCGCGGTGCTCCACACAGTCTAGGGGGCTCTCCTTGGGGACCGTCTGCGTTGGTCCAGACTCCGGGACAGACACAGACCGGTCGCCCACACGCCGCAGCGGTACGGAGCACAGCCGCGGGGAACAAGGAGTAATTAGCTGCTGAACCAACCTGTGAGGGGGTGGGGGGGGGGGGGTTATTGCACGTATGAGCAGGCGAGGGGTACACTCCGCCTCCCGCGGGCGAGAGAATTCAATCTCACGAATTATAGAATCCCCGCGAGTGTACCAGGTGAGACTGTAGGAGGGTGGCCCACGTCGGATGTGAATCTGTTTGGGGGTGGATAAAACAGTAGAATTTTTTCAGCTCTGAAAGCACGCGAAAGCCACAGGCCGAGGACAGGGTCTCTCAGCACCAATCTACTAGCGCGGGCGACCCGGTCCTGGCATGAGCGCCAGCCCTGCCCCGCCCCAATACTCGGCGTTAGGATTCATCATGTCCTTGAGTTCCACCTCTGCTCCCCGCCATGCCACCCCCGGAGCGGCCGGCAGGCTCACCCCACTCCATCCGCATGTACCCCATCAACACCATCAGCGAGTATGCGAGGGCCGGGGCCGGGGCCGGGCCGGGCGCGGCGCGGCGCGGCGCGGCGAGGGGCTCGGTGTTTGCGAGCGATATTTGCCCAGCAGCGGCGCGCGTTAGCTGCAGGCTGCGGCGCGCCCGAGCTGTTATTTGCACGAGCGCGTCCTGCGTTGCAGTGCACTTCACGTTGCACTTTACGTAACTCGCATTACATTATATACGCGCGTGTGTGTATGTGTGTGTGTGCAGTCGGAGTTCGCGCTTTGTCCACAATGCACATGGAGAAGATCGACGCACTAGCAATATGGTGGGTGGGTCTTTGACTTTACAATAAAGTGGCTCAACGAAAGTAAATTAAAATGAAAGTGATTCGAACTAATCCGTTTCGCTGCAAACACGACGTTTTTCAACTTTTGAAATTTATTGCAATAAAGATGTACGCCCCTTGATAAAATGAGTAGTATATTAATATGTATACATGAATAATCTCGCAAAGTTTCGGTGGTTGCGGTGGGCGCCGCCGGGCTGCGCTGCATGTACCGCCCTTGTACCGTGCTCGTATCGGCGCGGCCTGGCGGTAATCACGAGCGATACTTATTGCACGAGAGGCCATTGTCCGCACCACACGGCAGCCGGGCCGGCAGCAGGGCCGGGCAGAGGGTGTTCACTGCAGGGCGGCCCATCTGCCTCTGGCAGCAACGTTACGACTGCGCCTGCGCCCCCACTCTGCGACATGAACTTATGCGCCCACGTGACTGGAATCAACGGCAACTCTTTCAAAGGTGTCATCGTGTCAGATTAACCTCAAACTCCAGGTTGAGAGTTGTTTGTTGCTTTTTATGGATAATGTCTTTGTTTGCAAAAGGTAAGGGCGTTTCACGTAATGATAGTTCGATTGCTGGTACGGTGACGGTGCAAGGTGTTCACGTGGCGGCATTGAACGACGGTATTCGCACACCATCCATTTCCGCCGTGCAAGGTGCCATGCAGCGTGGCACCTCTCGCGAGGTGTCTCAGCAGCAGCCCCTCGCGTCACCTCGCTCGTCGACCCGCAACCCGCACTCCAGGCCTCCCTCCTTGCATCATACGACGCGGCTCGCGTCGTCTTACTTCACGCCTTAACGCGTTTCGCCTGCTCGCGCGTTTATTGCGTTGCAGCTGCACCGCCCCGCCCCGCCCCTCGTGCTGACAGTTAGCAAATGCCACTGCGCCGCGCTGCGCCGCACCTTGTTGGCCGCCGCCACCATAAAACACGTTTATGGCGTGGGCCGGGGAGCCC